CGAGCCTTCGGAGCCTCGGCTTTCACCGGCCGAGTCTCGGTAACCCTAGCAGTAGGCGTAGATCCCTGGTGAAGCTGAGGACACTCGGCCTTCCGATTGCCGGTTTGGTTGCAATGGAAGCAAACCATAAATCCCTTGGGGCAATCCCTAGCGATGTGCCCCTCCTTGCCACTCTTGTAGCAAGCACCTGATTGACAGGCCCCCTCATGACCCTTGTCGCACTTTCCACAAGTGCGGCCCTTCTGACCTCCCGTCCTCGAATCGGCGAACTTGGTCCGCTTGGCTGTCGGTTGGGACTATGCCGGCCGCCGATCCACCCACTGAGACTCGACCTCCTCCCTGGCCTGAGTCTCTAACTCGATCTCCATCTTCCGAGCATTTTCCTGGAGCTCAGCAAAGGTCCGGTATGATGAGTTCGATACGAACTCCCGAATGTCCCTCCTCAGTACACCCAAATATCGGCTCATCCGAGCCTGCTCAGTGGACACCTGCTCAGGGCAGAACATCGCCCTCTCATGAAACTTCCGGGTGATCACAGTAACTGAATCATTACCCTGCTTGAGCGTTAAGAATTCCTGAATCAACTGTTCCCTCTCCACCGGGGGAACATACTCGTCTCTGAACATACTAGTAAATTTCTCCCAAGTCACGGCCGAAATCTCCGCAAGAGTGAAGTTTGCCATCACGAACTTCCACCAATCCTTTGCTCCCAGGCGAAGCTGGTTCAAAGTGAACCGTACCCTCAGATGCTCCGGACATGAACATGTGTAGAAGCATCCCTCAATGTCAGCAATCCATCTCATCGCAGCGATCGAATCCTGCGTCCCGTCAAACTGGGGTGGCTTCGTGTTGCTGAACTCCCGGAATAGCAATGAGTCACCTCCCTGTGGTCTGGCAGCAGCCACAGCTGCGGTAGTTGCAGCGGCTGCAGCCTCAGTCACCGCGGCGTACTGCTCATCGAAAGTCTCCATCAGTGTGGTCTTGATAGACCCAAACATTTTCGGAATCTCAGCCCAGATCGTCATATCCACCTCTTCGTGAATCATCTGACGAAGCTCCTCGTCACTCACACCGCTCGTTCCAGGTCTGTGGCGTGGCCCAACCATAATGCCTCTGAAATACAACATAAAAATATCAAAGACTCAATCGAGCATACTCGCATTCGATAACGCAACCCTACTCGGCCTCCAATACCCAAAGGATTCTTACTTGGGTTGCCCACTAACCCGGTTTCTTTAGTAGTACGGACCCAATACTACCGACTACACCGCATCAGCATTCACCCCAAGTCCTCCTCCCTGGACCCTGGATCACGAGTACTCTATTCTTGCTATGCACTGGCTACCTACTCGCTCTCAAAGTATCTCATAGCAGCTAGTTCCCTTAGACTAAGGCATTACAAATCAGGCCACTCTAGTCCTAATATGAATACCTAGTCTACTATAGCATGCATAACATATCATAACATATCTCATAACACATATTGTAAGGGTATTTTGGGGGTTTTACCGTTCGGGCGCTGGCTGACCGTACACACGGCTTCTCCTTTGGTTATTACAAAATCTCTTATAAAATTTTTATGCTTTTATTAATTGAAAATTTTCTTCAAATCCTCGGTTTGAGTTCAGTTACGCCCGAAGGTGCATCCGAATCCCTCAAACCAAAGCTCTGATACCAACTTGTAACAACGTGAATTTTCAAAACAATTTTTCGTTTTTCAAACAACATAAACCATCATTTAATATTCTGAAATCACATGTATAAAAAATGTCATTGTAACAAAATACATCCCAAGATCATAAAACAGTTCTTTCGTCAGTGCGTACAGATAACGTCGGCGCCTTCCCACGGTCCTTGCTAGTACCTGAAACACATAACACAACAACTGTAAGCATAAATGCTTAGTGAGTTCCCCAAAATACTACTTACGCACATACGCCTTTCCAAGCCTTGACCTTTCGGTCCATGTGTCTCAGGGGACTTCCGTCCCGAATCGGTAAACCTTCCGGTCCTACCTGCGTCAACCTTACGGTCCACATCACAACGCCTTCCAGCCCATAACATATATGCCTTTCGGCCCATAACATAATGCCTTCTGGCCCATATCAAGCATAACATACATAGCACATACAGCGGTTAACTTATCATATACAATACATACAGCTCATAGCATGTCCGACCTTCCGATCACACAATAAAACCCTTTCGGGTACAGTATAGTGAGAAAACTCACCTCGTGGAAAGTCTAGAATCTCACGCGCTCGCTATCTCCAAATCTCGAACGAAGACTCAACCTCGCCTAATCATAACGAATATCATTTTAATTAATATAGACTTCCACAAATAGACTTTGCCCTTATTAACATTCCTCAGAGGGGTAAAAGACCATTTTACCCTTCCTTGACTCAAAGTCCTTATGTTGACCAAAACCCTAAAAGTCAACAAAATTCAACATCCTTCAGTACGTGGGGCGTACAGTCTTATGTACGCGGGGCGTACATCACCAACCCACAATCGGGGTCTCCACCCAGTACGTCGCACGTACTGGGAGTTACGCCCAGCGTAACATTCAGATCTAGTCACTCTTCATTTCTGGTCTTAATTGGTTAAGTCACTTCTTCAAATTCTAGATCCGGCTTTCTTTAAGCCTCTTTACCCATAAAGTCGAAACCTTTAAGCCTTGGCATGGCTATAAAGGCTCCTACGCTCCTTAACACCTTTCCATTTCAACTCAAAAGATCTAGATCTCATGCATGGCTAATCATTCACGTCCAAGATTACATTTTTATGAACCTACAACTCAAATGGACCAGAAATATGATGGATCTAAGCTAATGGAGACTACTTGCTCATAAAGTCTCCACCTTTGGGACCAAAACCCTAGAAAATGGTCGATAAAGCATACCACAAGAACTACAAGTCAAGATCCGAACTTTTTACCTTAGAAAGAAGCTCCAACCTTTGCTAAACACGGATCTACACTTGAACACCAACTTCTAGCCTCCACAATGGACTCCTCTTCTCCTTTGCTACCTTGAAATGACACCATTAAGCTTAGAACACTCACAAATAAGCTAGGAACAAAGGAACAACTCTCTTAGGGTTTCTTTCTGAGGGATGGTGGCTGAGGAACCAAGCCATCTCATTCCTTTTATAGCCAACCACAAAATTAGGGTTTTTGGGTCTGGACCAATTACACCCAGCGTAACCTTGGGTACGCCCAGCGTACCCGAGGGAGGATGCGTTTAAATGAAGCGCGCGAGTACGCGCAGCGTACTCCTTGTACGCCCAACATACTCGCCCAACACAAAAGCCCTTAAATGACAACATATATAAAGATGAAGGGCTAAATAAAGGTACCTGGATTTCGGGCTGTTACAGTTTAGGCTTTTACTTTGTTTTTTTAGTTTGTATTTTTGTCATAGTAAAAAATACACAGCTCAGAAACTTTTTTTTTTGGCTATCTCAATATTTTTTTTACCAAAAATGACAATGCACTTTAGTTTTTTTTTTTTTAAATAAAAATAAAAGTCGTGTGCTTTTTATTATTAATCAGGTTAGTTATAGATTTTCTTATCAGTGAATCCAACAAATTGGTTATAGGAAAGGAATGAGAAGAAATTGAAGCTTTGAAAAAGCATCAAATGACACTTTTGGGTAAGCAACACAATATATTTATCTGTTTGTTAATCGAGTTAATGACAATCATGCCCTTGGTCGTTTAAAAGTATTTTGATGTCAGTTTGCCTTTTCAAAACAGTGATGTATGAATGTAAGCAAATGTAACCTCGTACTAGACCAAAACCAATACGAACAAACTAATCCTACTATTACTAAAACCAAAAAGTAAAGTAATTCATATTTAGTTGAGATTTAACTTTTATTTGGTTGTACTTACTTTCATTCTTGTGATTTTGACTGGAGTTTTCCTTATTTGATTACACACAGTCAACTGAAAGAGACAAAAAGTGGACAGGATTACTTGTGAATGTACCAAATGAACAGTATTGGAATCCGGTTATACACAACGGAAGTTTTTGGACTCTGATAACTCCACTTAAACTGAACTATCAAAGATCAAATTTTATCAAAACCGTATTACACAAAGGAACTTAAACCCCTAAAAAACCAGGAATCCCCTACATTTAATTTGGACATGATTTTGAAAAACATTTATGCAAACTCGATCCAACCTGATGCCAACGGCGCAAGTAATTTCCTACTAGTTGTCATGGAAAGTTGTAAAAAATAATAATTACTTGGCTATAATATGACAATATTTTTAATTGGTGGAGTGATGACCCTCTTGGTAGTTTTAAATAATATATATATATATATATATATATATATATATATATATATATATATATATATATATATATATATATATATATATATATATATATATATATTGGATGGGATTGAAAGGAATTTATTTAAGATTTAGGGGTTAAAATAAATGCCTTCTATTCTTGTAGGTGTAATTTTGTCAAGCATCCTGTAGTTTTCCTTTCATCTCTTTTCCCTCTGTCCACATTATCCGGTCCTTCCCTACCCCTCCCCTGCATTTCACGCGAAACGCACGTTTCCCCTATCTCACATAAATTCTCTTCACTATCTCTCTCATCTTGATTTTATTGCTTCGCATCGATAACCCCCCCTGTCGTCTCCTCTTTTTCTTGAAAAAAGTTAAAAGGAAAACACCCTTCTGCTTTTCTTTACTAAACACTCAAAAAAATCTACATTCATATCTAATTATGTATACCCCTTTTCTATTTGATCATGTCCGTATCAAGAAAAGGCTGCATTTTTCATCTTCTTTTACCCTTTAGTTTGTTGATGCTTTAGGGTTCTCGAAGCCTTCTTTTACACTTTTTTTTCTCTGTCATTGGTTTTGCATGACAGTTTTGTTATCTGTCGCACACCCATTTGATCATTTCCGGGCTCATTTCGAGTTTTCAACCTAATTTCTCATCTGGGTATCACTTGTTCTCTCATTTATTGTACGCTTGCTTCTGGTTTTTGATAATGCTTGATAGCGTAACGAATTTCGGACCACATTGGGTCTTTTCCGAGAATTCTATTTGAAGTGTAGAATCTTTGTTGACTTATGGGGTTTTATTAGTCGAATCTTTTAGGGGATTTTCGGAAGAAAAATGCCTGAAAAGATAGGAACTTTGAGTGTGGATAAAATGGAGGAAAGTAAGAAGAAAGAAGATGAGATTGAGATAAGAGGGTGTTGGATTAAGTTCAGATTCTTGGGGAGATGCATTTCCACAAGGTCCAAAGTGGAGAACTCCATTTGTGGGAATAGCATTCCATATGGTATGAAATTTTTAGCAAATTTCTTTATGACCAAATTAATTACTCGATATTTGTTTTGAAATCTACTTCATTTGCTTCTATTATGCTTGTTTTGATTCTAATTCCGCAAGTTCTTGTGATCATATCCAATTTATGCATTTCAAGTTTATCTTGTATTCAATGGTTTCCATTTGTAGAGAATCGTCGTTCTTTAAAGGGGAAATTTCAATAAAAAGCACCATACTTTCACTTCATTTCTAATTCAGTCACTATCATTACTAAAAGCATTCAACTTTCCAAAACCATCGGCTTTTCTAAAGAAAAAGGGAAAATTACTAAAAAAATAAATATATTTTGGACACTTTTGTAATTTATTCACTAATGTTTCATATATTTTTCTAAATCAACAATTTTGAACAATTATATTAGGTTTCGCCTGTATTTTTTGAAATTAACCATCTTGACATGTTACTTATAATTCGGTCAAAATAGTTAATCTAGAAAAATGTTGAAACTTTTATGATTTTATTGAAAAACATAATGGGTAACTAGTTAAGCTGCAAGATTCGGTTTTATGTCATGTCACATTTGTCCGAAACTACCCAAAATATAAATCTTGATAAGTATAGTGATTATAGTACAATGTTGAAGTCTAGTAACCAAATTAGAAATGAAGTGAAAATATGTTATGTTATGTTCTTATTATGTCGACTATGTGTTCAAAGTTTCTTCTATTATTCATATGCTTTTTAGACATCCCATCATCGATTCATGGCATAATTTCGGAACATGAAATCACTCTAGATTCCAATAAAAGAAATTCATATCTTTTTATGGAAATGTTCTAAACCAAAAATATACCTTTTAATTCTTTTCCGCAAAAAAGTTACTTTTCCATAACCCCTATGGCCCACACTCGTCATGTCAGCATCATGTCAGATGTAAATCAGGTACATGTTGGACCATTGTAACGGCCCAATTTCTACAGGGAGCCCAATCCACAATGGAATTAAAACTGTCACACTGCAGCTGCTGAGTTACGAATATACTATTATACATTTATACCACCTCGAATTTATCTATATGACTAATTTTGTCACTTGATTTTGTGTTTTTTACATGAACAAGTTGAAAGTAAATCTACAAACAATAAAATTTTGGATCGACCCGTTGTCCTCCCGACTTTATCTACAACCACTAGCAACACGGAAAGCACTCCATCAACTCCAAATGCAACCGAGGATCTAAAAATTGCATCACAACTTAGAAAATTCAATTTCAATGAACTTAAATCGGCTACAAGGAGTTTTAGACCCGAAAGCCTTCTTGGTGAGGGTGGATTTGGTTGTGTTTTCAAAGGATGGATCAATGAGAATGGGACAACACCTGTGAAGCCCGGGACAGGATTATCCGTTGCGGTCAAGACTCTCAATCATGATGGACTTCAGGGTCACAAAGAATGGCTCGTATGACCTTTTTTTTTTTTTTTTTAATTTTTAATTTTTTTTTTAAACTATGTTTTTTTTTGTATATTATTTATGGTTGATGGGTTTTATTGATGTTGAAATTGTGGCAGGCGGAAGTTAATTTTCTTGGTGATCTTTTGCATCCGAATTTGGTTAAATTGATCGGTTATTGCATTGAGGATGATCAAAGGTTGCTCGTGTACGAGTTTATGCCTCGTGGAAGCCTTGAAAACCATCTTTTTAGAAGTATGTGATTCTTTTTTCTTATGTTATAGATGATTATTCAAGAAAACGTTTTTTTTTGGGAGGCTATGTGCATGAAATAGCAATTTACTTTCATTTATTTGTTTATTACAGAATCCTATTTACGTTTTTTTTCTTATTGAAATTTTTTATACTTTGAAAAATCTACCTGATTATAGTATTGTACTTTCATTTTTTTTTTCTTATTAGCAATGAAAATTTGCTTTTATTAGTACAATGGTGTAATAGGTAAAAATGAAAGTAGGATGCTATAGTAAACACATCAATGAATGTACGTTGCTCTTTCTTTTGTTTAACCCTTTTTAAGATGTTCATATTACCTTATCAAATTAAGGCCAAATTACACACGAACTACCTTTCTAAGCTTGCTTTCAATGAGGAGAGCATTCATGTCTTTTGTACATGCAAGTCTCTCTCCCACCTTTTTGTGTGCAACTTTTGTCACACTTTTTGGGTTGGACAATAAATTCTTCTTTTTTTGTCCCATTGACATTGGTTCCAGTCCACTGCAGCCAAACAAAGTACAACCTGTTTTGTCCTGAACTATAACAAACGGGCCCTACATCTTATTGTATTTTGACAGGATCATTGCCACTACCTTGGGGGACTAGAATGAAAATTGCTCTAGGTGCAGCAAAGGGTCTTGCTTTTCTTCATGAGGAAGCCGAACGACCCGTTATTTATCGAGATTTTAAGACATCCAATATTTTACTAGATGCGGTTTGTAGCTTTTAACTTTTTTTATTTATTTATTTACGATATTCATCTTTATGATTGATAAATTTTAATTATTTTAAAATTGATTCTTGTTTTAGGACTATAACGCGAAGCTATCTGATTTTGGACTTGCTAAAGATGGTCCCGAAGGAGATAAGACACACGTATCGACTCGTGTGATGGGAACTTATGGTTATGCTGCACCCGAGTATGTGATGACAGGTATATTTATTAAATGATGTTTAAAAAGTATTTAAGAAATGACTATTTTACCCTTTGATGCTGAATAACCAATCAAAATGTGAGCATATGACTGTTTATCTAAATTCAAAGAAATGAGTAAATGACCATGTTGTCCTCTGTCTAAATGTTATGTTAATAACAAATGCCAGGTCACCTAACATCAAAGAGCGACGTATATAGTTTCGGAGTAGTTTTACTCGAAATGATAACGGGGCGAAGATCCATGGACAAAAACCGACCCACCGGAGAACACAACCTTGTAGAATGGGCAAGACCATATCTAGGAGAAAGACGGCGGTTCTACCAATTAATGGATCCACTTCTCGAAGGTCGATTCTCCGTTAGAGGTGCACAAAAAGCCGCTCAATTAGCCGCGCTTTGCTTGAATCGTGACCCGAAAGCTCGACCCTTAATGAGCGATGTTTATGAAGTTTTGAAACCACTCGTGAATCTTAAGGACATGGCATGTTCGTCGCCGTATTTTCAGGCGGTGCATATGGGCGGCAGTCAGGGCGGTGGAAGTGGTGGAGGAGGGTTTAAAGGGCAGGCGATTCGCGGCCTTTCGATTCCGGGCTGCCCGTATGTGTCTCCACATCGCCGTGGTGGTGATCAACTTTGTCGGTCTCCGAAACCGGTCAGATGACCGGATGTAATTGACTAATTGGGGCGAAAAGTGAAAACACTCCCTTTTTCACCCTTTTTGTGGGTTTTAGTAACTTTTTTTGTGACTATTGCGAATTGGGTTTGTTTTATGTTTATAAAGGGAACTGCTTTTTGCAACTTTGCTTCTTTGTTGGTTAACTTTTGTTCTAAAGAATGTACTGTTCAAATTAATATTTACGATTTTATATTATAAAAGATAAAATTATGTAGTTGGTCTATGAGGTCTTCGAAAATAGATACAACTATTGAAATTTTTATACAATTGGTCTTTAGGAACCCAGATTCAGAGATCACAATGTAGAAATTAATAACATTACATGAATCAATCTCAAATGATAAAACTGTACAAATAGTCCATGTAGTTAGCTGAAAATTATCATTTTGATTCAAAAAAGTTTGAACTAGCATCAGAGGTCCAAACTTTTCATTTTGTTACGAGTTTGATTCAGTTTGTTTTAAACTTTTTCATAATGATTATTTTGCCCTTATTATTTTTTTCGTTTTTTCAGTTTTTTTCATATTTAAATACTTTTTTTAATAGAAGAAAAACTAAAAAAGAAAATTTGCATTTTCTATTTATTTTTTTAATTTTTATAAAAAAAAAAAAATGAAATCTCTCTCTCTCTCTCTCTCTCTCTCTCTCTCTCTCTCTCTCTCTCCCTCCTCCGATCTGTCTTGCTCCACCCCAATACTCTCACCACCGCCTATCGCCTTCCTCCAGTCATAGAGTTGTGCCACCGGAAAACCACCAAGGACCACCGGAACATCACCGCTGCCACCACCCATTTACCCTCTTACCATCGCCGATCAACTCACCAACCACAACCCTTTCCTTCCTCCCTCCCTCTGGTCAAACCCTTCGAAACAGGAAGATGAAATCAGCGAAGCTGCAATCTCCACCCACCGCCACCGTCTTTGCCTTCTTGTTTCGCCACTGTTGATGAAAGTCCGACCACCACTTTATACCCCCTCCTCTCGACTGAAAATCACCACCAAACACCACTCCCATTCGATTTCTCCACTGATTTCGACCAGAACCCAACCAAAAACGAGGCCGAAGGAACCTCCGACCACCATAGCAGGTAACCGCTGCTGTGGGACACCGCCGCCAATAGCTGCTGTTTCCGCCGACCCTCTCCAACCAGTCTCGTCACCCCTTGCGACCTGTGTAAGACCGATTCTACACTGTGAGAGGATTGTTTTCCTATTCGATCAATCAAGAGGATCAATTACAGTCGTTTCTTACCTGCAACCGGAATTTTGTCGAAAAATGGCGTTGTCATCTTCCTCAATCTCTTACCAGTCTCGTGCCTCCCTCCTTATGGATTTGTAACACCCATCCAGATCATCATCGGAATCGAAGGGTTTTCTGTGGAAGATGGTCGCCTGAGAATATGACTTGAAGATGGTGTTGTTCGCCTAAACTCCGATAAAGGCGAGAAGATGGTGTGTTCTTGGATCTTGAGGGTTGCAGGCTACAGGTTTTTGGGGTTTTGGAGGTGGAAGCCTCTTCGCCGGAAGCCTCCATCATCGATGGTGGTGGTGGTGGTGAAGGGGATGGATTTTTTGAAAATATGATGAAGCAAATGCTTTTGTGTGTGTATGTGTGTGTGTGTGAGAGAGAGAGAGAGAGAGTATTTTCCCTTTTTTTTTTAAATTTCTATAATAAAAAAAATTGGAAAAGAGAAAATGCAAAGGGCACAATCGTCATTATAAAAAGTTTAAAGCAAACTGGACCAAACTCGCAACAAAATGAAAAATTTGGACCTCTGGTGCTAGTCCAATTTTTTTTTGACCAAAGTGGCAATTTTCAGTTAACCACAAGGACCAATTATGCAGTTTTGTCATCTCAAATAAATAAGATGAACTTTTACTTTCTTTGTCTATGACAATCTAAGTGACAAAGGAGGTTCTCTCTAAAATAAAAATAACTTAAACTATTTAGACTATCAGGTATGGGCAACGCCGTATCCCGATAATCTGATGTGGACACAAAATAACGCTGACATAACGGCCAACACACCGCCCCAACCGTGCGTCATTCAGCATTATGTGATTGCGCGTTAGTGTGTTACGGGAGACAATGGAGTTTGGGTTGCTAGTTTCGATTAAAAATGTCATATTTTAGACCGTTGTTAAATGATTACAAACCAAAAAAATCACATTTCTATATACTATAAATACACATATTTTACTTATTTTTACCTACAAAATGCATCTATTTCTCTCAATTTCAAAACAAAAAAAGGGATCCCATTGATAATTTTCGTCCATTCAACGATGATAACGACGCCGACTGTAACATCCAAAAAAATACGGTCCAAAAACTTCGTTTTTAAATCATTAATAAAACCATAAAAATCATAAACCATGTATTTCAAAAATATCATAACAACTGTCAGTGTATCAAAATTACATATCAAACATCAGAGTGAAATATCCCAGGCTAAAAAAATGTGTTGTGTGTCATGCAGTCATCCCAAGCTCTTCCCCTTGCTAATGGAAGTACCTGAAACCAAAACTGAAGACCGTAAGCACAAAGCTTAGTGAGCTTCCCAAACTACCACATACATACACATAACATATAACATAAACTCTGGGACTTCGCCCAGCTGCATCGGGACGAACCCGATATCGGCTTACCGACATCGGGCTCATGCCCGACATCAGTTACCCCGGTATCAGACCATGTCTGGCATCAGGCCTCGCCCGACATCGGGCTTGACCCTACATAAATACAACATATCATATAACATAGGCACATAACATTACCATATAAACATTCATCGGACTTGCCCCGACATCAGACCGAAGCCCGGAACACATGACACATAACATATAAGCTAACATGCATTAGGCTTGCCCCGGCATCAGACCGAACCCTGGAACACATAACACATAACACATAACATCTAAGCTAGCATACATCAGGCTTGCCCCGGCATTGGACCGAAGCCCAGAACACATAACAGAACATGCAAGAATCACAAAGACGTCAAGCATACATAAATGCTTCTCGGGATGGCCTCGACATCGGACCGAAGTTCGGAAACATATAATCTACTTCGGACTAACCCCAACATCGGACCAAAGTCCGGTATACGCTAACATACATAAACGGGCCGTCATTGGTGCCTTTGACTAGTTCCTACTGGAGGAAAACTCACCTCTCAAGCTGTCTGCTAAAATCTCGTGTGAGGAATCTCTGATGGCTGCTCCAACGACTCCCCGACTATCATCAACAAAAAACACTTAGTAAAAATCTGATAATCTTTCATAGGGTAAAATGACCATTTTACCCCTGGTCATAGTCAATATTCTGATTGACTCAACTTGCCGAGTTGGTCTATCAACTTGTCGATTTCTGCTACTCAAGAACCCTAAAATCATGATCTCACCAAGTTATTCCCCTGACTCGTCGAGTTCTTTGTCCACTCATAGTCGCAATTAAGCAAGTCAAACCATTAAGTCATCCTCAGACTCGTTGAGTTATGCTTACTCAGAATCGGGACAACCCGTCTCAACTCGTCGAGTCCTTCCTTGGACTCTTCGAGTTCTTCAACCTCCAAGTCCCAAACTATGTCCAGCTCGCTGAGTCATCTCCTAGACTCAACGATTTTACTGATTTAACAGAAAGAGTTGGGGAACCGCGACTCGACTCACCGAGTCGCATGAACGACTCGTCGAGCCCCCCAAGATCCTAATCCATTTAATCAATTCTAGTTGGGTTCATAGCCTCCAAAACATAGATATGGACCCGTAAGGTCCTTATGTCACGTAAAGTTTCCAACTTTACGAACATACATGGGGTTTTTGGCTCAAAAGGTAAAAAAAA